TTTGAATATGAATATCAAATGTTTAGTAATCATATTTAGTAAGTAACAAATGTGTAAGCATGAATAAATTATATTCAAGATAATATTAAGAAAAATTGATCTTCATGGTGATAATGTGCAATATGTTTTTCTTACATACATGTTTAAATGTATAAACGGACTGTAATGATATTGTTAAGACCCGAGGTTCCATCTTATTAAAGCGTGTTATTTCGGGATGAAGGATGGAAAAGAAGGAAGAAACGGAAGGAGTGGGCATGACACTGAACTGAAGCCCTCTCTTCAAGATATTGAAGGTGATTACTGGCGAATTGTTGAGAAGTCAACAGAAGAAGTTCAGGTGTACTATGGGGCTGATCTGGAAAGTGGGGTATTTGACGGTAGTGACTTCCTCAAGGCTTCATTATCAAATCAGTATGCGGCTTCTGGTTGGAACTTGAAGAACCTCGCACGTTTACCCGACTCTCTACTGTGCTTTGAAGAATACAACATCTCAGGAGTAGTTGTTCCGTGCACTACAACAATATTTCATTTTTATAGCAATATATGATAGCGTTTGGGCACCTTATGCTATGATTTCGTAATTCCCGCTCCCAAATTAAAAGAAGACGCGGGGAAAAACAATAAAACGCTCTCGTAGATATCCGATATTCCGAGCGAAAATAAACAGGCGGCGACAATAAAAGCGCATTAGGGTTTTCACAAGAGATTAATATCTGGTCTCTTTCTCTCCTTTCAGTCCGTGGCCATCTCCTTCATGTTCTCTCTAGCCGCACCCAATCATTCACCTTCGGTGTTATCCTTTGGCTCGATTCACTTCCATTCGGTGTTCTCTACTTTCATGTTCTCCAAACCAAACTCGATTGAGTATTTCTCTGGTTTGCAGTTGGTTCTAGATACTTAGACTATACTTTTAATTTGTTTGTTGTTTTTTGTATCAATTTTGGTTGAAGGACCATCTTTTGTGCAGGGAAGTCTTGTTAGTTAGGAATATGTTCATTGGATCGGAGTTGATTTTCAAGCTTTGATTATAAGCTCAAAGCTCTGGTCAGTAGTCAGTACTGTTCTGGTTTCCAGTGTTTCTTATGATTGAAACAAAGTTCGATTCAGTATTTTTTTCTGATTTGCAGTTAGTTTTAGAAATTTAGACAATACTTTTAATTTGTTTTATGTTTTATGTATCAATTTAGTTAAAGGCCCATTTTTTTTGTGCAGGGAAACACTACAGACTTGTTAATCAGGAATATGTTCATTGGAGTTGATTTTCATGCTTTGGTTTATCTTCTCTGGTTAGTATTTAGTTGGGTTTCATTGTTTTGTATTATTGGCACCAAGTTGTGTTTAATTTAATTGGAAATTTCATTTTTCATTGAGGTTTTATTTGACAGAGTACAATCAGTACATGATGAGGGCAGTCTCTTCATTGAGACAGAGCTGAATTGGTCTATTATTCAATACACATCGAAGACAAACCCATGATTGTGATGAATTATCTTGCTAAGCTAAGCTGCATATATAGCTTACTGTGAAAAAATTAAAGTAAATAATTTTAAAATAAACATTTATGGAATCGAAAGAAAGGAGATTCTTATGTTTATCGGTTCACCTTTCGTGAACAGCTATGCCCGAGAATGAATGAATTGTGCATTACTACCTCGTAGTACTATTTAGTATTTACAAGTTTTCATAGTTTTTAAATTAAATTCTTACTTTCCTTGATGCTCTCACATTTCGTTAGCACTTCATTTGTCAGTAATAATGTAGATAATACTAGTAATATACTGTTATTTTTTGTATGTCCAATATTCATTATTTTCTTTCAACACCATATATAATATTAAGAGGCCATTTACAATGCGTGAATGAAAGTTATATGTAGTATTTCTTATACTTTTATGTTTAAAACACTTGAGTTTATTAGAACTTTTTGAGCGTTTGCAAAGTTGTATGAAGTTGATGTCCAGTTGGATGTTTAATCCACAAAGAACTATAATAATTCTACTATATCATAACTTTCATCGAGTGTGAACTTAAGTTGTTTAATATATGAAGTACACAGAAATCAATCAAGAGGAGTAACAAAATGTAGAAGTGCTTTTATCTCAATTTAAAGGAGTCCATATTACTAATGCATATGCTTGCCCCTCTGCAGCTCATATGAAATTTAATGTACTTATAAGAATTGGGAAGACCTCAATTGCCTGCTTATTCATATCTTAAAAAGTAGCAGTGAGTTACTTTTAATTAATGAATTTATTATGCTGTAAAAACCCAGGTTGTAAGTGTTTATAACCTATATTTAGTTTAATGGGTTAGAATTAAATTTTCAGTAAAGTTAAATTCAAAACGTAAGAGTGAGTTCATTTATAATAAAATTTTCAGTAAAATTACTTATAAAAAGTAGAGGTGAGTACTTATCTTTTGAGTGGAAATGTTTGTTGTTAGTTTGGTGCATTTCTATTACTTTCTTCATTTACTTTATTTCTTGATTTCTTTGCTTCTTTTGTCTTCTGTTTTTTGCATAGTATTTTTGCTGTATTTTGTCTTCTGTTTTTTTGCATAGTATTTTTGCTTGATGTATTTTGTCTTCTCTTTTGTAAAAAAAAAAGAGTGTGATCTCATTAACAATAGCTATTTTTCCAGGGATATGTGACAGAGTGCATATCTCAATTGTTGAAGATGAGAGGGTCATCTAGATTGGTATGTAATTACTTATTTTCTTGCTTGTTTCTTCTTCTGTCTTCTGTTTTTTTGCATATGATTTTTTGCTTGATGTTTTTCTCTATTTTTTAGTTAAAATGAGCATGTGATCTCATTAGCAATACCTATTTTTTCAGGGATATGTGACAGAGCATACCTCAAATTGTTGAAGATGTGAGGGTCATCCAGAGTCATAGGCAATACAAGGATTTTTTTTTCATTTATGCATATTTGTTTTAGGCTGAGGTACGATGAGTCGATGAGAGTATTGAGATGTATATATTATCTGTTGTAAGATATGTTGTTTTTGCACGTTAAGTTACATTGTGGTTAGTTTTGTATCAATTCGTACACATAAATGAAGTATTTGATGTTGTTCTTGTTCCAAAGTATATGGAGTTAAATATTTATCGGTAATATCTTGGTATTATTATAATTAAGCTTATAATAGTTTGTAAATGCTATGAAATATGTATTCATAGCAACATCAAAACACTAAATGCTTTGATAGCGTTTGGTAAATGCCATATAAATTAGTACATGTAAACTGCCGTTCATCTTTGATAACACTAAAAACGCTATGTTTTCTTTATATTTAATAGCATTTGAAAAACGCTATATGAAATTGAATATCTACTATAGCATGTCTTGTGATAGCGTATTATAAAACGCTATGAAATGAAATAATAGCGTTTTTAAGGCGCTATGAATTACTTCGGTTGTTGTAGTGGTGGCTTTATATTGGAATGTGCTTCTCATCTTTTTGTTGGCACGTCGAAGACCACCATCTCTACTCACTCAATTATTTACACTGGGGTGATCCAAAGGTATGGTATGGAGTCCCGGGAAGTCACGCTTCTGCATTGGAGGACGCAATGTGGAAACGTATGCCAGATCTCTTTGAAGAGCAACCTTTCTTGCTGAATGAACTAGTTACTCAGTTGTCTCCTTCAGTGTTAAAGTTAGAAGGAATGCCTATGTGGGTATTATTCTGGATTTTACTGTGGGTTCAATTGTGTCGAGGCTGTGAATGTGGCCCCAGTTGATTGGTTAGATCAAGGACAAACAGCAGTTGAGCTCTACAGTGAACAGCGCCGCTGGACCTCGCTGTCACATGAAATATTGCTTATATAGGTGCCGCCAGAGAAGCTGTTGAGCTCTAAGTAAGCAGATGTCTCCTCTTATGTCTATTTGATGCATGGACGCAGATTATGACTTGAAGGATGAGAGAGAGTGTTTCATGTGCTTCTATGACTTGCCTCTATCTTCAGATACATGTAATTGCGCCTTAGAAAAGTTTGCTTGCCTTTTCACATGCAGATCACCTCTGTTCCTGTAAACCAGAAAATAAAATTGTTTTTGTTCGCTACACCATAGAGGACTTCAAGAAGCTGGTCAAAGCTTTGGAAGGAAGCTTTGAAGAAATAAAAATGTGGGCTTTCAAAGATTGATGTGCACCTCCAGATGAGGTAGTAAATGAGGTTATTATAACTGAGACCCGTTCTATAAAATATGATGACAGTTTGGGGAGTGATCACGAATTTGATTTAAATGAGAACTGTTTGTCCAATGAAAATGAAGTTGGTGTTACGTTAATGTCAAGTAGCTCCAACAACATCACAGAGATAAAGATCTCTGACATTTCTGAATCTGCAAGGGGGGAAGGTAATAATCCTTCAATTATCATGGACAAGAGAAACAAAGGTGACCATTTAAGCATCTCTTGCTCAAAATTATCATGGACAAGAGAAACATAGGTGACCATTTAAGCATCTCTTGCTCAAATAACTCTAATACCATGTTAAGACCCGGGTTCCATCCAAAAAGGTTGACCTTTTAGAATGGAATCCCGGATCTTAACAGATATCAATACTTAGCTTCTTCGTCAACTATTTGAGTAACAAATAGAAATATATGCGAAGTATTTGTTATTACATGTTGTATTATGTTATCACTCAGCAATGTTGTTGCTGAGTGTGTAATTTTTCTACATGTAGGTGAATGAGAGATTCAATTAGAGCCCGGGGATAAGAGACATCTGGACATGATTGTATAACATGTGTTTTGTTTTATTGTCATTTTTCTTTCAAATTAATTAGTACGACTCGACACTATTTAAAAGTTAATACCGTGACTTTATTAATTCGAGGTTTAGATACATTTGATGTAATTGAACAATTATTTTGTGACCAATTCATTCAATAGAATAGATATATTTATTTAAGTTTTGCAAGTCATATTTTGATTAATGAGGCATATTAAAATAAAGTCGAGACTAGACTTTTATATCTTAACAAATTCGTGATTTTATTAGAAAATTTTATTAAAAGATGAACGACAGATATATGTCCCGAACTGATCAAACCTGGTGGAGTTGGTGCCACACATAGAAAACAAAACAAACTACAATTCAAGATCACACTAAATAGATAGCGTCCACTTACATAATTAAAAGACAAATATAATAGATAATGATCATATACTAAAGTCTATAATATACTTGTATCTAAGACTATAGTTTATCATTCGTTCTCTCTCCCTTTCCCATTTTGATTGTCACGTAAAATCATAAACTAAAAATAAAATGATTAATGTTAAGAAAAACAATAACATTGATCATATACGTAGTACTTATTATTTTAGAAAAAAAAATGTCAAAATTTTACAGTTGTCCGATAAAAAAGTTTTTCCAATTAAGGACCGGAAGCTTGGAATAACTACCTGAATGGTCGAGATTGATTTAAAAAATTAGTACCATATCAATTTGGATCATTATTGTTGTAGGCAACGTCCCCTCCTCCCCTAATCTATAAACGACGATAAGAAGTCCATTTATTCACCTCCACGCTGATGTGGCAACGAAAGCCCTGTCATGCCAGCAAAGCAGCATTTCCGCTTGCCTTTTCGCCACCTGGAACCCTCTCACCTCTACCCTTCCAAGTAAGCAGTTAGCTTGGAAGTCCGCAAACTGGCTGAAAACAATCGGCCTGAAACCCGCCGATAGAAAAGCCTCTCTCCACGGCGGCCCTCGGCGGCCCGCCGCCCCTACCATTTCCATTATTCTCGGATACAACACGTAAGTCTCGATCTTCTTCAGCCAGTCTCCGCCGCCGCCGCGGACATTTGCCGCTGCTTCGAGGGAGTCCATCAGCGTCGAGTAAAAATCCAGACCTTCCATCACCGTTTGTCGAAAAGGAGACTGGCCGAATCCCGCGAGCCCTTCGGTGTCCACGTGGACCACCACGTGTGGCGAAATATGACGGAGATCGGGGACAAACCCTGTCCCGATCTTCCTGAATATGGACGGAGACAAAACGACTGCAGTCTTTTCTCCGTCCATAAACTTGATTGCTTTGAAGGACAAAAGCTCAAATGTGCTAATCAACACAAAGTCGAAATCGAAAGCCGCCATGTTGACATCCCGAGCGAACTGAGTCAAGTTCTCTCTGATGAGCCTCGACTCGACCGCGTACTCATCGGGAACCAGCGCCGTTATACGGAGAGCCGGCGGCTTGGCTCGGGAGGACGACTCGGCTAGCTCTTTTATGAAGGAAGCCCAGTGTCCTCCAAGCCCGATATCAAAGTCGATGACGTGGACGAGCGGGGAGCCGACCACGGCTTCGAGGATGGCTTGGTTAGCCGTGAAGCTGGAGAACATGGGGATCGGAGAGATACTAGAGAAGATATTGTAGGCTTTGATGGTCTGGATGATCGCCGACGAGGAGGCGGCGGGTCGGGTCATCCGAGTTGACCAGGTGAGTAGGGACTGGAGAGATTCCTTGAAGTAGAAGGCAGCTCTCTCGAGCGGCTTTCCCGTCGGAGATCTCAGCTTATGATTGAGCCGCGCCAATATCACTTGAGCCAGCTGGGTGGCGTTCGTTTCGAAACACTCGGCGAACCGGATCAGATCGTCCACGTAATCGGACGCCGCCGTTAAGTTCCAGTTATTCTGCTGAAAATCGCCATTAATACCGTTCCCACCTCCCTGTTGCTGCTGAGTCATCCCAGCCGGCGGTTGAGGGTACTGCGCCGCCGCCGCCAGGGCTGTGATCGTGTCATCGGAGAAGGGGAATTGACTCTGATCGGCCGATTCAAGAGAGTGTTGAGCGAGTGGGAACTCAAGAAACTGAGTCGACTCAGAAGTATAGTGGTTGTCATTATTAGGGGCTTGTTTGGCTGTTGCTATTAAATCCTCTCCGCCCTTAAGGCCCAAGTCCTTCATGAACGAATCCCAGTCTTCAAAGTTAGTCAACACATGGTCAGCCAGCTGGAGAGGGTCGTCGCTATCCAGGGGTGGGCGGATGTTTTCCGGTAGGATGGGGCTGGGACTGCGGCGGCGCTCGAGGACGGATTTTGGTTCGTAGCTGACGGCGTTGGTGGCCGGAAAAGCAGGGGAGGCGGTGGAGGGCTGGATATTAAGATTACTATTAGTACCCCCACAATTAGTTGCCTTGGAGTTCACGTTTTCATTAGGAGTAAAGGGCACTTTCATATCTTGGAAATGAAAGCAAGGGGCAGGGGAAAGAAAAGCTTTGGCGGTTAAGTAACTGGCTCTGTTTTAGCCTCCGCTTTGTTGCTAAAGCTTTTTCTTCGTTCTGAAATTTATGAGGAAAGAGACATATAGAAGAAGAATCAGAGGAGAAATGAGGAAAGATGAATGGAAAGAAAGGGCTTTTAGAAGTTCTATGATTTGTGGCTTTTTATCTTTGCTTGTCCGTATGTGCTATGTGGCTCCTACCTTGCTTTCCATCCATCCATTCACATATCAATCCTTTTGTTTTATCTTTTTTTTTATATAATCTATGTGAATCCTGAAGTATATAAGCTACTCTTCAAAGCCTCTAGACAATTGAATTTAGATCTGTTCACAGTCGGGCTCGTCGGTACTGATTTCACGTAATGAATCCAGCGGGATTTCTGATCACCTGTCAGCCAGGCTGAATCCAGGGGGCCTCCTACCACACGAACCCGAAGTCTGCATTACCATCCCCTCCCTTCTTAACCGCTGAGCAACTCTGTGAAGGTCGGAAGAATCATTTGGAGCACGACCTCCCTCATCTTCCCTTTGGTGCATATCGGTAACCTCACAACCCGCTAGGCTAGACTGCTTGGTTTCCACATATGAATCCTAAATTTGACAAAAGAATCCTTACTTTTGCAAATTTTACAAAAATAATCTCCACTAAATATTTTTTCAATAATAATCCTAACTGTGACAATAATGACCGAGAGTTAACGGCGTAATTTTTCCGTTTAATTACTTTTTTTACATTTAAAATTAATGTAGAAAAAATATATAGATAGTATAAACATTAACAATATTATGATATTTGTTCTTAAACTTATTTCTATTATAAATTAAGTTTAGTATTCATTATTTTAATATCAGAAAATATAGTACAAAGCTTTAAACACATACTCATCAATTTAATTCTCTTCTATTTTTTATTTCTTATACATATTTTATTTATATACATTTTTGTTTTTCATTGTAATAGAGATTTCAAGGTAGATTGAGTAATATTGTATTAAATATTAGGGAAAATTCCCGAAATAGGAGTTAAAAAGTTTGAAAATTCTAAAATGGGAGTGCCATGTTTTTATTCTTAAAATAGGAGTAATTACTACCAAGTTTGGAAAATACTTCCTTGTTTAAAGTCTGGTACTGCCAAAACATGACAGTAATTAGTTCTATTTTGGGAATAAAAATATATATGATCGTCCTATTTTAGAATATACAAACGTGTATAGTCCTATTTGGAGTAATTTTCCTAAATATTAATACAAAGTATATGACAATTATTTTTCACTTAGTCAAGTTTTATAAATTGATATCTCCAATCATTTGAATGGATGAGATATTAAATTATCCTAGAAGATATGGTTGTATTCATTAAATTTATAGTAGAAATGAGATTAAACTCAAATATAATATTGTTAATGCTTATATATTTTTGCTTCATTATATTTAAAATTCAAAAAAAATGTCAACCCCGTTAGCTCAATTTGGTCACATGTCTTTCTTATTCAATTTGGTCATGCCCCCACATAAAGAAAAATTTTTAATCATATTTTGGGAAAATTGATTATTTTTAGTAATATTAATTATACTTCATATATATTTTTCCCATTTCAATAACCCAGGATTACTTGAGGTAGATACCCCCATAAACAAATGAAATGGCTAATACGGAGGATTAGTTTAAAGTAGTATTCTTTGTTTTCAACGACAAAGTAATTAAGGAAAATAATTTCGTATGAATACCCCATATTAATAAACAGAAATTGACCTAAATAGGAGTAAAAACGTTTTGAAATTCCAAAATAGGAGTATCATGTTTTTTATTCCTTGAATAAGAGTAAATTTTTGCCAAGTTTGGCATTACAAGGCTATTAAACATGGCATTTTCTTCCAAACTTGGCAGATTACTCCTATTCAAGGAATAAAAAACATGATACTCCTATTTTGGAATTTCAAAACGTTTTTACTCCTATTTAGGGAATTCTCTCATTAATAAATTATACTACGTATAGAAAAGTATTACAAATTGACCGAAGTCAACGCACAAGTTTGACCATTAATATCTTCCTCCGTTCTTTTTTTTTAAACCAAAAAATAGTTTATTTGAGTAAAGAACAGAGATACAAACGGTGTAGGAGGACATCAACCAAAGCTACTACCCGGAAATGATTTCCGGGAAATCAAACAACATAGGGGAAACCGATGGCATCAAGTTTAAGGATCTTCATGAAATGGGAAGATTTCACGTCATTTCCGAGGCTAATATATCTAGCAACCACATTGGTATTTTCAGAGATTACATTAATTATAGTGTAAGCTTCATCCGTTCTTTTTTAATTGTAACGGTTCACTTTTCACGCTTACCAACGCATAAGTTTAACCATTAATATCTTTCATTTATTAATTATGAGTAAAAATTAAAAATTTCTGATTTTAAAAATTTAACATGAGAGGAATTTAAAAATATAATTTATAATACACCGATAAATAAATAATAGTCAAAGTAGAATATGTGAATAGTGCAAAAAATTCAATGTTGCAATTAAAAGACAACAGAAATTGTATTAATTAATAAAGCGGAGATTAAATAGTACGGAGGCACTATTAAAACTAAGAAGTTGACTAAAAAAATCAAAATATTATGTAGTAAGGAGATTAATAAACCGGAGATTAAATAGTACGGAGGACCGGTCAAGGACCTCGTGGTCTGATGTCATCATTGAGACACTTCCAAAGTAGAGGTCACAGACAGGGGCGGATCCAGGAATGAGGGGTGGGGTGGGCTAAGTAGTAAAAATTTTCGTTATTGCATACAAAAGGTTTAGCTTAGGACTGATAGTTATTGAACTGAGTTTTTTTTCGAACTACTCAAGTTCGATCGTGATTTCGAATTTAATTTAATGACCAAAGCTTAACGAGCTTCAATCTTGAACACGGGCTAAATTTTAGTTTAAATAGTTTGTTTTTACAAAAAAAAAAGCGGCCGTTATTTTTTTGAGTTTGAATAGTTATTCAAGTTGAATTCGAGCATAGTCATGTTCAATTCGATCTGGACTCGAGCATATTCATAACTTATAAATTATAGAAATAAACTATATACTACCTCCGACTTTTATTAAGACTAATTTGACTTTTCAAGTCAAAGAAGTTAAACTCTGAATGACTATATATTTATACAATAAAATTGATAATATAAAAATGAAATGGAAATGTTCTTTGTTAAAAAGTTTATCATAAAAGTATAAATTTAGTAAGTTTCACATTAATACATGAGTTAAAATGATGGATCAAAGTTTACCATCTTTGAGTAAAGAGTCAAAGATGGCTAAATAAAATGAGAAAGAGGTAGCATATCTAAAATTTAAACGTTTTTAGTGTGATTTATAATTTTATTATTGATTATTAAAGATTTTAGTATTTATTGATATGAATTACTCCCTTTGTCCCTAAAAGAAGTTCCATTTCGCTTATCGAGGGTCAACTTAAATCACTCTTAAACTCTTACTTTTTATATCAAAATTTTATAAAAGTTGAATTATTTTTTGCAGGCTTTGTAGCGGGTTTAATGTAGTTTCTGAATATGTAATTTTTATATACTAAAAATAATCCGAGTTTTCACAGGGATCATTTAACTTTATCGTCGGTCAACCTTCGTAATCCGAAATTGGAACAACATTTAGGAACGGAGGGAGTAAAATACTTCTATAAAAGTATAAAACTAATAAGTAAAAATAGTCGATGTACATAAAACTAATAAGTATTCCCAATTTTAAAATTGAATTGAGATTTTGAATCCATTCTTACATGCCTAAACAGTAAATACATCGTTCTCTATTCTTTAATTGCATTATAAATAAATCATTTTCTAATCTTTAATTCTATCTTTAATCATTATAAATTTATAATAATAAATAAAAACTATTTTACTATCTACTGAAAAAATTCAATTAATAATCAAATAGAATTACAAAGTTGGTAGGCTTGGGCTGGGCTAGACATTAGTTTTGAGGTGGGCTGGAAATTAAACCTATACCTATAATAATAAAAATAAATTGGGCTGGGCTGGGCTGGAGCCCACCCCTGCCCCAACATAGATCCGCCCATGGTCACAGATTTGATTCTCATCACAGTTCAAGGATGTTGGCCTTAACAGAACATATACTATAATACGAAGTATGTTAGAAAGATTTGCCCAAAAAAATAGTACGAGGACGGAGGACATGCTAAAGTGAATTAAATTAGTTTATAGGGTGTAGAATATAAAATTAAAAATAGCTTTATTGCATTTGAAGATACAAGGTGGGCTTGTCAGAATTAAGAATGAGAAGTCAAATACTTAAGAACGAAGGCTTCTAGTTATTAGTTAGTACACGCGATAGAAAACGAGCTTAACTTGTAGTTCACAAAAGTAGTACTACGTATCACGTATGCATACATATGTGATATGGCGAGATTATCGTCAATTAGGGACTTGGGGTCATGAAACAAATATGGGCATATCTTAAGTGGTCCAAAATAGGATGATGTTTATATATATCCAATATACACAGTGGAGGACCTAGAGGTGTTAGGGGGATAAGTGTCCCCGTTTCTGATCCCGAAATTTAGTATTAGTATATATGATATAATAAGTGCTTCCGCTTCTATTCCAAAATTTAGTATTAGTATTTATGATATAATCAATGCCTCTGTTTCTTGATAAAACAATGACTATTAGATATGTAATAATTCTATCAAAGAGCATATCTAAATTGTTGTAAGACATTCAAATGGCTATGGAGTTATGATGAAGCGATTTCATACCATTAGACATGTTCTTGACACGACCATTCTTTGGAAAGTGGCATTTGTGATTATTTTTTGTGAAGTACGAATTATCTTTTCCAAAATTAGAAGTCAATGATATGGATTTAAGATCATCTTAAATGAAATTCCATACAGAAGATACATTCATTATATTGTTTTCTTACCAATTACAATTAGTTGTTGTGGCTATCGCACAAAAAAAGAAGTTTGTGGATAATTTCTTTGGATATTTCTCCATGATTATGTTACTAAATGTTGGGATCCTCCTATAAAATAAAGGGCGTATTCAGACAAAAACAACATGATACCATAAGAGAGTTATTAGAAAAGGGTGTATGTAGTAGTAACAAACTGGAGATATTGATTG